AGTGTAAGAGTCTGCATTCCTTTTGTACTTCAAAATGAATAAAGCACAGGAAGGAAAGCTTGGTCATACACCACAGATTTTCCATCCAGCATGGGCTGAATGTGAGCAGACACAGAAGTGTGCCCCTTGTCTATGAAACAGCACTCTATTTTGTTCCATTTAAGCTTTTTATATTCAGTAGGAAGGAGAGGCACAAAAGGGGCCTAAAGCTGTCTTGGGTCATTTAACCACACATTTTCTTTCTTCTCTCAGAATGTGTTTTCTGGCAGTCAAAGCACAGAGAGGTGACAGATTAGACAGGGAGTTCCTTTACAGGCTGGCTATGGGCTTCAGGAGGGTGGGCCTGCTTGCTGGTGCTGGGGGCAGCAGCGCCATGCCTGTCACTGCTTGATGGGCCAGCGCAGGAGTGCAGTCACAGGAAGGTATGATTGATGAGATTATGTACTCGTGCACGATCCGAATGCCAGTACACTCCTGTGATTTAATCCCCGTTTCTTCATTAAACATCCAGACATGGCAGATGGACTGTAACACATCTAGGCTTGCTTTCCCCGAGGCAGAAGCCAGACCAACATTACCAACTGTTTTTCAGAGACGTCTCATTCAGAATACATCAAAATATAAAGAGCTCCAACACGAGTAAAGAACTATTTACACACCTCATGGGTTTATTTTCTTTTTCAGCTTTGTTTCCTTTTTTAATTCAGATCCAAACAACATTGGTACACAGAATAGATACGTTTTGAAATGATGGTTTCGGTTTCTAAGAAAAACTACTATCTTAACCAACCTGGCTCTGTGTGTTAATTCAAGAATTAACTCATTAATCAAACAGTTTCTATCAGTTTCAGTTGTCATACCAATTTCTGATTACTGCCCAAACAAAATAATCAAGAAATTACCAGGAAGCAACTCATGAAGTAGGTTAAAAGATCTCAAGCAGCAACATACTGTCCCTTATAAAAGATATTTTAATAACAGATGCGAAGCAAAGCCTTTGGCTGCTAACAGTGTGGGGACGGTTGGCAACCTGTTTCTATATACTCCAAAAAGTTTCTGAAAATGAGCAAAACTCTCTTAAATATTTACCTTTCATTTGAGTAGGAAAATAACATGATCTGACAATGGAATTAGCATTTTACCCTTAAAATAAGATAATCAGATAATATGCACTTGAAATAAGAGTCTGCGTTTGTTTTTCTTATTTTAAATGTAAATTGTCTTATTACATTGACAAAAGTATCTCACGTACCTCGTCAATTCAAGAAAAAATGCACTCATTTTAAGAAACAATTACTTAGATTTACATTTTTTGCAGTGTTTTGAGACTGTGTTGAAACATACCGAAGGCCATCATCTCCAAATGTAGAAAACATGGAATGGTGGTAAACCTTCACAGGAGTTGCTGGCCAAGCAAGATTACTCAGAGCAAATCAAGGACTCCTTCAAATCCCAGAACAGCATCTAAACTACTGCAGACCTCAGCTGTCCCAGATAGAGTTGGACTTATCGATTCTGTTTTATAAAAAGGCTGGGCAAAAAATGCTTAGATGATCAAAATCCTTATTGACCAAAAAACATGAAAAGACGTATCAAGTGATGACTGCTTTGAGTTTTGAGAGATCATCTACCCACTAACTACAGTTTAACTTTCTGAAAGCGTTGTGTGGTTTTACATCCAGAAGAATTCATGAAACTATGACTTCCACCCAAACAAAGCAAAAAAAAACAAAACAAAAAGAAAAACAAAAAAACATTGTTAGTTTGAGATTTAAAGCTCAGCTCACTTAAACACAAAATGATATAAAACACAACAGCACAGCATGTCCATCTCTGAATGTCTAAAGAAAAAAAAAATAAGTCTAGACTTTCTAAGACACTGTGGCATGAGGTTAAACAGGCCCTTTAATCTCTAAACACAAATGGGGGGGATTAAAACATAAAGTATCTCAGTTTGAAATATAAATTTTTTACCTTTTCACACTGTGTAAAGTTGTTTTAGATAACATTGTACCTTTTAATAAAATAAAAAACATGTTAAAACTGTTTTTCTGTATTCATCTTGTTTATATATATATATATATATATATATATATATATATACAGTATGTTAAATGCTAAATTATCTAACACAGGCAAAGAAAAATGGACAGAATAAACCAGTAAGAGGGTATCTATTTGTTTATAGTATTAAATAGAAACCAATGATTAAAGTGATATAAAAATGAGAAACTGTATAAAAATAACAGCCTCAATTATAATAGGTTTAAAAATATATTTTCTCAAATTAAAATAGCAGCAATCACAAGGACATTTGTTTTCCCTCAGCTTTGGGAAAATTAGTTTGGCTGCTTCTCTTGTGCAACAATGACCCCTAGTGTTGATACAAGAAACTTCACTGGAATTATATACACCTCTGTGCACAAATGCCAACAGCAAAGATGTGTTAATCCCTTTGCCTCATGTTAGAGCCTAAAACATGAGGGTCAAGCTATATGTTGACAGCGAGCCTGATAATCCAAACTTGCGAACGAGCATCAAAGCTGTCAGGCTCTAAATCCAGGAAAAAGCACAGCTACACAGCCTAGATTAAGCCAACCATCCCCCAGTCAGACCACAAAGGCTTCTTTGTACTTGGATGGCATATAAAAACGAAGTTGAATTGTTTTGGCTGGAAATTTCAATTACAGGTTGTTCTCACTGCAATAGCCGCCTATAAAATCTCCTTTAAATACGCCAGACACATTTTAATTTAACACAAAAGCAAAGATTCTCAGCCATTACAATCATTAATATTTGGATAAGTGTTCTTATTATCGCTTTTAAAAAAAACACCACTATTTTAACTCTTACTGGGATTAAACCTTTTCACAGAGTAAGAAAACCACCAGAGCTCCTGGAGGCCCCTGATGCATCACTGGTAGCGACAAATTATCATCGATAGCACTCCACCACATTACCATCAATCTCTCTTTTGAAAGACAAAAGTATCCCTCCATTCTAAATCATGAAATCAATGCATTTCTATTACTGAGAGGGATCGGTGCTCTAGTGATCTCTGCGGGCGAGTAATGTGAAATCCATCGCAGGTTAGCGCTCGTGGCCCGGACATGATCAAAGACAAGAGCCCAGAAAAGTTCGTATTGATCAGCCGTCACAGAGCGGCAGCTGAGGAGTGACTGGAATTTGAAACACTGGCAAGTGAAGATGGATCGACTTTACCTGTTTAGAAAAACAAACTTAATAACTTACAGAGCAGCAATAACTGTAACTGCGCAGTGACAATTATCAATATTTCCATTTTCAGAAGTGACACCCTTAGTAGCTATTCTTTGAAGATGTGACCTCCTGTTATACTTTTATAATCAGTGTCTCACTGAGTCATGGGGAGACTCAGATTTCCAGTGATGTTAAGATAAAAGCTCTAAGTTAGATTTAAGATTTACAGATTTCTATAGGACGCTGATACTCTAACTGTCCAAACAGCCTAATGGAGCAAGAGGCAGGAATTCTTACTTTAGACAAAAATAACTAAAAACACCCTAATGTGATGGAATGTGGTGTCATGAAACCACCAGTTTAAAATCCAGCCAGCTCCAAGTGCATTCACATTCATCTAAGAAGCTGCTACTCAGGGCTGAGAGAGTAGTGTAGTTCAGGAGCAAAATGACAGATTGGTGTCCAGTGGGATTGAAAAATTTGCCTGAAGACAATTATTTACCCAAAGTAAGGTTGTCTTGCTGGCAGCTTCATAAAGTCATGAGTTACTTCCAAACTATGTTTTTTAAATGGCTGTTTTCCTTCAAAATTTGGTCAAGAATGAATCAGAAGACCCTTCTGATGTCAGCGTGAGGTTGGAGGTTGGTTGAGGACTCTAATGCAGAGATGAGTTTTTTTAGTTTTAATGAAGAAAACTGAGGCAAACATAAAAAAAAAAAAGAAATACTGAAAACCAAATACCAGAGAATGTCAGAGAAAACTCACGTGGGGAACCAGAGATGAGAAAGCAACTAAACAACAAGGAACCGGCACTGAAGAAATGCACAGGGAGAGTATATATGGGAGACAGAACAAAGACTGGGGTAATCAATCTAATATGGAGCAGGTGTGGATGGAGGAGACTAGAAGGGAGCTAGGGGAAAGGAGACAGGCACAAGGGGGTGACAGAGATTAACTTAAGACTGCTTAAATAAACCAAAAGATCAACAAAACAGAATTACTGATAACTGAAAACTAAAAACTCAAAGTCCCTAAAGGGGAGAACCATAACATCTGGCACTATCAGACAGGTCACATAAAAGAAGGGATGCATTTCAGGTTGTTTATTCACCATCATCAGGCAGCATCACCCTCTGCCAACTTTCCAAACGATAGGAAAAGGAATACAACAAACGACTTTTAGAAAACATAAAGCATAAAAAATTTTCATTTACCAAAATGATAGTATAATTAAAAGAAAATAAAATTGTATGTTGAGGAAATTAAAATAAAACTGGCTGCAAAGATTTACCTCTGAGGCTGTGTTACTGTGTATTTATCCTTAGCAAACATGAGCATATACAGTAGGGCAGCAGGTGAAGGCGAGTTTTGGGGCTTTGCAGCTGGAATGGATGTAGAGAGACAATGCTCAACAAAATTTTGCTTCCTGCTCTTATAAGTAGAAAATGTTGGCAGGTAACAAAATCTTACCCATTTCTAAAGACAATTTTAAAGAGAATTTGAGGATACCAAACCTGTCCCACAGTTAGATGCTACTGTTATGTTCCCTGTTTTAAGTGTAAACAAAGCAAGTAAATGGTAGCTGCATTTTGGTGTTGTACTCTAACTGCACTGAATTTTGACTCAATATCTAGAGTGAGTATGAATCGTGATATAGGTGTATTGGTACATCCCATAATTATATTATATGGGGGGGAGCAGAACCATTTATTATAATGTGTGTCTGTATCAGCATTGGAAAGATTATTTCAGTGAGTTTTCACAGTTTAAGGAGGACTTACCTTTGGCCACTTTGGATTGAGCCCACAGGCTTTTTCGGCATCCTCCAGAGCAGCTTGGTGTTGGCCCAGTTTGAGGAACGCTCCTGACCGGTTACTGTACAGGATGCAGTTCTGTGGATCGGCCTGCAAAGCCTCGCCGTACAAACGCACGGCCTCCTGGAAGTCACCCCTCTGACATGCCTCATTGCTCTGTCGCACTTTCTCCATGAACTCGGCCTTGCTGAGGCCACACCGAGGCCCGTCGTCCCTGGCAATGCTCCGAATAGGCCTTCCCGACGTCCGAGAGCCAAAGACGGAAAACTGGAGAAACAGGCAGAAAACAATAAAATGGGCATAATTGGAAAGAAGTGTGAACAAACACAGCATGCACATTTTATTTTCCCAAAAAGCTCAGGTGGAACTCATTTTGTTAATGAAGGCCTTGTTCCAAAGAGTATCCTGAGAAACTACAACAGCCAGCCACTACTGAGCACTACTGAGACGCCTAATAAACTTGTGTGAATGTGCTACACTTTGGTTATTTCATGTCTAAATGGACACTGACAAAAACAGCAGCTGAAGTGGGAGGGGATGTTAATGAAGGAAAGCATCAAAGAATATCACACAAACCCAGCCACGTTTAGCCATTCTTCCTTCCCCACTTGCAACAGTTGTGGAAAATTAGAACTTTTAGTTAAAAAAAGAATTGATTTGCTGCAAAGTTAAAGCAAAAGCATCATTAATGAACCTCAAATGATGCCCAATCCTACACCCAAGTGGAGGCGTTGTTTTCTCCATCTGTTCTCCTTCAGTTTTAAAGACGAAAGCTTACTGGAAAAAAAAAAACAATAAAAAAAACACACCCATACAGGATGAAATTTTTAATTACTACAGAAACTTTCAACTTACAGACTTTGAAAATGTTTACCTAAAAATAGAATTTAGTTTTTTAATTAGTTATTTTCTGCTTATAGAAATAGTTTCTTCCATCCATCCATTTTCCGTCATGCATTATCTCAGCTGGGGTCGCAAAGAACTTGTTTCATTTAAATAATCTAAGTATTACCATCTTTGTTGAAGCACATTTTTGACGTAGTATTTGTTGAGACCACCAGTAAATTATATAAAATAATACTATAGTACGTAGCATCATCTTGAAGTAGCATAATCTCACAATGAACGTTTTTAGAAACATCCATTCATCTTCTGCAACTTATCTCAGGATAATGAGGGCCTGGTACTTTTCTCCAGCAATCTATAGGTGAACAGCGGGGTTCACCCTGGACTGGTTACCCTACTGGTCAACCAATGTAGGGTAATTAATAACTATGCATTCACCTATTACCCTAACAGTTGTGTTTTGGAGTGTGGAGAAGCCGGAGAGAAGTCATACAGTACTTCATGCAGAAAGATCCTAAGCCAGAAATCAAAGTCAGGACCTTCTTGCATTAAGGCAGCAGTTCTAAAAACTGGGCTACCATGCAACCCCATGTTATAGACATCACCCCTTTTATACGAGTGATTTCCTTTTTACAAAACCCTTTCTGCCAATAAAAGAGAACCTGTGTTTTCTCCGATAACATTTCTCAAGGTTAAAGTAAAAAAAGCGGGATCTTCTATTCTCTCCCTTCTTTCCCCAGAGATCCTGCAGTGCTGCGTTCTCTCTTTCGCTCTCTTTGCTTCAGCTAAAACATGGTCTCTTAAAATCTAGGTCTGGGGACAGAAGCGGCTATGAAAAAAGGAAGATTTCTTTTGGACTTTTTTTCTGTTAGTCGAATCATTTCTGTGATGATTTGACCATGTGTTTTGATTCACTGTCAAAACAACACACACAAAAAAAAAATTTTTAAGTGTCTGGGAATTGTTACTGTTTTTTTCCCCAAATGTTCTTGTATTTCAAGGAATTCATAAAGCCATGCATCCCAATAGAGTCACAGACTTCATCAATGCGGTGGGCATGAGGTTCTTACGGACAAATCCTTCCTTTATTAACATTTATAGATCTTAATTGAAGGCCAGGCTCTTTTGCCTTTCCTTAATGAAGAAGAAGAAACAGAAAAATACTTTTTTCATATCTATACCAAAGGCAAACACAAAGTTATATGTATTGTAGGTGCATCCTTATGAATTTGATTAATGTCCTTATTAACGGTGGACAGGGCTGCTGATTTGATAGTTGTACGGTATAGAGTCACTGGTGGGTAAAAAAAAAAGTAATTGCTAATTAGAGATGCAGTTCCCTTTGTGGGTTACCCACTGTGAGGGATTTGCACAAACCAGCCAGAAAACCACTGAATTTTTGCAAAAAAAAAGTCTTAATTTATTCCAAAAATGTTTAAAAAAAATGATAAACTGGGCCCAAAAACAGAGGTCAACAAAACAGAATTCAATTCAGGCTTTAACATAAACAACTCCAGCACAAACTGACCTAACAAACAGGACATTAGGGAAACTTAAATAGTGGCTGATCAGACCACTGTTGACACACAAGGGGGGTAACTGACTAACAAATTAATAAACAAATAAACTTAATTAAACAGATAAATACTGGCCAGACACTAAATACTTTTTAAATTTAACTAATTAACAAAATTACCCAAACTAAGAATATTTAAACAAATGATAAACAAATGTCCCTTCCTATTACAAATGGTTTGACCCACTGATTAGCCTGCAACCATCAATTTAGGAAAGCTGGAGCTCACTGCAGCCCTCCACCAGCAGATCTCAAGGAAACTGGCAACTCAAAGAAGAAAGAAAGTAATCAATTGCATCTTAAAAAAAACAAAAAAAAAAACAACCTGCCAAATAAAGTTAACTAAATGTGTGCACTGCAAAAAGTTAACTTAAAGTCAGGCTACTGAAAATATATGAAATGTGCAACTGATTTTGGAAATGAAAAATGTGAAATTTACCACACAGCTTCAGAGTGTGACAGCAGACTGTCACACTCACTCAAATTGATGAAACATTTGGTGACTCTAAAAAATGTACGAGGAAAAAGGTGAATATGCGACAAAAATGACTGAACCCTTTAGATCAGAGGTCTTCTTTTTTTTCTTTTTTTTACAGCGTCCTGTCTGGCAATGTCGCAATAAGAATAATTGTC